GTGGCGGTTGCTTGTTGTAAAATATAATATCAGTTGTCTGGATTCAATTTTTTGCTATAGAAAACCATCTCTAGTTTAGTATGCATTAAGGAGCACTCTCATTTAGACTTCAGTTCCATGCGTATGCGAATTGACAGTTTGCTAGGGTGTTTGGAGGTGGTGCTGTTGAGCACAAGGTGCTTAGAAGACGAAAGGAGTTTATCGCCATACTATATAAAATCTCTTAACATCAAACTGATAATAAATTTTTCTTAATGTTTCTTTTTTAGGCAAATATGTCATAATATCAGTGGCCCACGCTCACTGCTTGCTATAGAACACTATGTCTCATTGCCCCCGTTTGTTTTCCGATCTAGCAGTCTGGACTGGACTGTTAGTGATGAACAGTAGAACAATATCATGTTTGTTTTGTAAATGGAGGTCTGGATTGAGAGTCCCTTTGGACCACGAAAGGCCTTGGACGAGCGGACTAACAGTCTGGGCGAGGAGATGGTATTCAGAAATAGTCTGTTCGGATTAGAGTGTGGTTGTCCGGCTGGTCAACTGGCCAAGTGCAATTTTTTTTTTTTTTTGAAACATATACGGCTGCACATTTTGTTTTTTGTTAAGTAAAAACCATGGTTTTTATTTGTTTTATTATTTTATATTAAAATATTTTGACAATTCTCACACTAACAACTATCATAAAAACAAATACAGCTTTACTTAATCCCCTCACTAAGAATCTCCTCACTAACAATCCCCTCCATGCTACCTTTGAAAACAAACGGGCCGATTTAGTATGCATAAGAAGGAGCTTTTTCATTTAGACTTCGGTTCTGTTTGGGTAGGTTGACAGTTTGCTTGGTGCTCGCGGTGGTTCTTTTGAGCACGAGGCAACTAGAAGAATGCGAAATGAGTTTATGGCAGCTTGGGATGGATTGAGGTCAAAAGACAGCCAGAGAATCCTCATCCTTGGTGCCACAAATCGGCCGTTCGACCTTGATGATGCTGTCATTCGTCGTTTACCTAGAAGGTAAGTTTGGGTTAACCTGAGTTGTTTTTTCTCCTCTTACTGCCTTGACCACATATTTGCTTGAAACATTTTTTATGGAATATTGTTTTTGTTACTTTTGCAAACCTGGTCTCTGTGTCCTGCCAGTGAGCCATGCATGCTTTTTCTGCATACACTGTTCTTCAGTTCCCCAACTATTCTTTTTACTGTATACATCGATTGGTTTTCAGGATATATGTGGATCTACCAGATGCTGAAAATCGTGTAAAGATACTTAGAATATTTCTTGCTAAAGAAAACTTAGAACCTGAATTTCAGTTTGAAAAGCTTGCAAATGCAACTGAAGGATATTCAGGAAGTGATTTGAAGGTAATGTCTTCAATGTTTAATGACTGATTGGATCTGTTGTTGTAATTCTCATACTTCTTCTGTGTTTTGCAGAACCTTTGTATTGCTGCGGCATATAGACCTGTCCAAGAACTTCTAGAGGAAGAAAAAAAGGTAACCTTCTTTGAATTTAGATGTCATTGTCTTTCCTCTATAAAGTTTGAATTGTCCAAACCTAGCTGCGCTTTGCATATTTCCTAGGATAGAATTGCCTATAGCTATCTAATAAGTTGCTTTTCTTCTTTGATGGATATGTTAATATTGTATGTTAGGATTCTGTTTGAATCATGAGTCTCTGAGATGCATATTGCTTTATTGACTTGTGTCCAAATGAATTACCGACATGTGGCTGTACTCCCTCCTCTCTTCAGCTTCTAGCACCATGTCATTATAAATAGCACTCTTCCAGGAATCATGCAGAGGTGGTGAGCTTGATCATTCGAGTAGGTTGATTGTTTCAATCATTCTTTTTCAGTTTATTCCTTCATGAGTAAAATTATTCTATAGAGTGCCAGAGAGGGTACAATCCAAGGGCACTAGTAATATACAAGAGAGACTCCCCACATAGGTCTACAACCTACCTAGTGTTCATATATCCCTAGAAGGCAATGAAAGTTTGTAGTAGATACAAAACTCTTCTTGAAAAGCTATTGATACAAAGCACTGATAGTCTTATCTATGGGAAGGGTGGAAAATAATAGGGGGTAGGAAGAGGGAATATGGTTGGACAGAAGTTTTCGTTGTTTGGCAGGAAGGAAATTGAAAGCAAACGAATGTACTTTTTCTCTGGGCCCATCCAATATTTTCACCTAAAAGGAGGGGGAAATGGCATGTCTGTTTTTCACTCGTTGCTCTTCACATCCTTCTTTTAATGTGCAAGGGCGTAATGATAAAATCAAGCTAAACTCATTTGCTTCCTTCCTCCTCTCCTTTATACCAATCAATCAAACAAAAAGAGGGCGTATGATTTCCATCTTCCTTTCTCTTGAATTTCCTTTCCATAGTATAAAATGAACTATAGGCATAGCCAAAATTCCATCCCCTCAAAATAAGCACATTGGCATTTTTTATTTATTTGATTTTTTATCTTTTCTCTTTCTTTCTGTAATCTTGACTATAATTTATGTTGTTTTTTACTATTAGCACTCTTTTTTACTCACACTATCTCTCTAATTGATGGTGGCTTTTATCTTGTTGACTGCAACTGTGTTTTCTTTTTTTCTTTTTCTTTTTCAAATACAGGTGGATAAAAATGATATGGTGCCAGTATTAAGACCACTCAATTTGGATGATTTCATTGAGTCAAAAGCCAAGGTAAACTTTATTTTTTGATTCAGATATATATGAGGGACCAAGTGGTCATAATATTTCGATTGTCTCTATGGTCTCCTCTAATTTTATTTCGTTTTCATGGAGTTTTCAATCTTTTACAAATCAGAATGATTATGAGTTCAATGAATTTATTTTCTTGTTATTTATCCTTGAGAGTGTTTCCTTATCCAATGCATCTATTGATTAAAGGGTATGGACTCTTCATTGAGCCGAGGGTATTCTCTTTCAAGTCATTTTTTAATAAAAAGCATTGATGACCCAAATGTACCATTCTTCGTCCCTCACAAGTTGATTTGGAGGTTAAGGTGTTCGTGTGGACCATGTGATGCAAAACAGTGCAAAGCAGAGAAAAGAAGTAGAAACCTTGGTCTTCAACACCTTAGGGGCTTCAGTACCAAACATAATAGAAAACTTTAGATTTTTGTTAATTTGTTTGGAAAGTCTTTCCCATCTGGCAGTGTTAGGAGTCTTTGAATATCCTCCAATTTTGTCAAATAAAAGACATCAAACTTGGAACTCAAAATTATCATAATCTCAACTACAATTTTAATCAAATAAGTAACAGCTCCATCTGGGTCTCTATCAGTTAGCCCAACAAATAACATCATCGCCCAACTAAAAAATCATCGAGTGCCATCCTCTTTTGTCAATGTCCAGAAACTCGTGTGATTTGAGGCCTGGTGTCCGCAAAACCATGACTCACAAGAGACTCAATACCAATTACATAGTCAAGGGAATTCTTTTATTTTTCTATTTCTAGAGATTGGGAAGCTATATGTAGCTTGTAATGTTTCATATATATATACGTATGTATATATATTTTTTATTATTATTACATGGGCTTCTTGCCTCATGTACATTTTGTAGTCTTTTGTATATATATATATATATTTATATTTTTTTCTCATTGTCAATCAAAAGAAATATATATTAAGAAAGAGGATTTTGATAGAGCGAGTTTGAGGGAGATTACTAAAGATTAAGTTCATAACACAATGGCAATAGTAGCAAGAAAGAGGCCCCGTCCTTTCTGTGGGTCATATTAGACGTTCCCAGCTGAAGGTAGATAATTGTGGGCTCAGTCGTTTGGCTTGTTATTTACATTCCTCAACTCAACCATTTAGCTACATCTTGGGGCTCAAATCCAATCTCATAGCCGCATATTCTTTATTGTTTGATATCTACATATTTCATTTAGACTTCAGAGTTATGCTATACAAACAAGGAATTTTAAGGTAATGGTGTGACAGATTTGGGTCTTATCATTTTAAATTAATAGACCAATCAAGTTGGTTTGTAATTACAAAAATGCCATTGCCATATTATTTTGATCGAAATACTGTATAAAAATTATTTTAAGATTATATTGCCATATCGTTCAGATCGCTTCTTACTATTATTTTGCAATCACGTTATTGATCATTGTAATTAATATTTGCTAACTATTATTAATGTGTTATTATAATCCCTTTCATTTAAAAAAAATTTAAAATAGAAAAAGTCTTTTTTTTTTTTTTTTTTTTTTTTTTCCTTCATAAATGTCAAATTGATGTTTGGTTATCTTGTATATAGGTGGGGGCATCAGTTGCATATGATGCAACAAGCATGAATGAGCTGAGGAAATGGAATGACCAGTACGGAGAAGGTGGAAGTAGGAGAACGTCACCATTCGGTTTTTGAAACAAACTCGATGGATTATTACTTTTCAAATTTTTATTCTTTAGACAGCATACAATCCCGGATGTGTATTCCTTCCGAAAAGGAATTTCTCTTCTCATCCAATTTTTGTATTAGTGAGAGATTAGGTGTTCTCTTATAATGTTAAGTAATGTTGTTGGTCCTAGGGGATGTAAAATAATGGGTAACATGCCAATGTAAGTGGCAAGTTAATTTATTTTATAGTGAGCTATTTTCGTGCTCTTGATCATTAAGCCTCATTTACAGAGATTTCTTGAAAGAACCATTGTCTTGTTTGTTTAGGTGGAAATATTTTGCAACCTGCCTGATTGGTTTGTCCATGCCTGGTTTCATTGGATTTTCTATGATCCAGATTGTAGAAAAGAGTCATACAGGAGTAAGTAAAATGTCATAATACCTTTAGGCTATGATGATTTGGATGGAGATTTGAAAAGACCGAAAGGGAAAAAGTGTGAAATGTAGGCGAAATATAAATATATTTTCATTCTCTAATTGAGAGTGTTGGGTTAGAGATTAGCGACTTTTTACCTTTACAATACACCAATTTTCCATTGTCTCTCTCTCCTCTCGCTCTCTCTTTGATCTCTTTTCACTTTCTTTTCTCTCTCTAATGTCTTCTTACTCTCCTCTAGCTCATTGTGTGTGAACCTATCACCACTATCCATGTTTGCCACCGATGAACTCGTCATTACTACCATTCGTAGTCACCATGGCTCTATCATCATAGCCTGTGGTGATGTAGAGAATTGGTAATGTAGAGAATTATGAATGGTGACGACTGTGGCAGGGCGGTGTGCTGGTGGATTTGAAGTTGCCAGCTTTCCCTTATTTGACTATTAAAACATAATTAGAAATTCCTAATACAAGCATTTAAGGGTTGTTTGGGATGATTTAAATAAGTGAATTTTTAAATTTTTTATGAAAAAATATACAGAAATATAGAGATATGATATGGTTCAAAAAAAATAAAAAGATAAATAAGTGCATGTTTTTAGGTTTAGCCAAACAATCCCTTAATAATTTTCAATATACCAGATATCCTTGTTAGGGGGTTAAGTAACAAAATAAAGGGTAAATTACACTAATTTTTTTGATATTTGAAAAAAAAAAAAAGTTTTACAGTTTTGATATAATTATTCATCTCATTTTTGATGAGATTAAATGAGCCAAAACTAATGAAGATATAGTGTGAAAATACAAAAATAAACAATTGAATGTATATTTTTGTGTAAAAGAGATGGAAGGATCATTTTTTTTTTCTTTACATAACTAACAAAATATTGATGAAAAAAACTTTTTTTTTTTTTTTTTTTTTGGTGATGAAATCCAAAAACAATTCTCCAAAGAAAAAAAAAACAAACTTTAAAACCAATTTTCTTTTCCGTTTTTTTGAAAAATATTTTATATTTTATTTAAGGCTGCAAAACTTAAAAGTGAAATTTTTAAAAGAAAATTAGTGAAAAATCCATTTCAAAGGATTATAAGGCATTAGATCTAAGGTACATTCTTATTTGGCGATATGAACATGTTGAAAAAGTTGCCAAAAAATTGACCGGAAAAATCACTAGAAAAGTCGTTGACGATGGTGACTGGCGGATACTGCAGCAAGGGGTGGTGGTAAGGTTGAAAAATGTGTAATATTCAACAGATAGAGTGTTTAATGAGTGACATTATTACATTTTTACAGATTGTTAATTTGATGAATTTCAACGAATAGATAGATTGATTGATTTCAACATATAATTATCCTTTTTGTTCAAAAGAAAATATATATACATATATAGTTGTCCTTTTGGACAAATTGTGCCCTATTGGTCCAAAGATATTAGAGTTTGGGCCTAATGGCCCGGAAAATTCAGAAATAGACTTATGGCCTGAAGTAGCAATTTTAAAATATTTTTTTTTTAATAAAAACAATGCTAAAAATTGAAGGAAAAAAAAAATACTAAATAACAATTCCCAAGCCAAGTCTTGAAAAAAAAAAAAAAGGAAAATTAAAAACACATCCTTAAAATTTGCTTAAAATACAAATTATTCTCTATAATTTTAGAAATTACATCTCGCTCTTTTTATTAATAAATTAAATTAATTAACAGTTTTTAATGATATTAAAAATTTATTTTAATTACTAATTCAAATAATTTTATTATTAGATAAGAGAATAATTAAAAAAAATATTTTTTCAATTGTGTTAAATAAAATTTTGCAAAATTACATTAAAAAAACTCCAAAGTTTCACGCGTTTTACAAATTAAACTATAGAGTTTCAATTTTAATAACTTAAACTCCAGACTTTAAACTCGTGTACATACAATCAGAAATTAATAATAAAATAAAAAAATAAAAAATAGTCACCCAAAAACAAGAGCTGCAATTGGGGACTGGGAGAGCATACAAAACTATCCATTGCCCAAAACCGAAACCCTCTTCGATGTTTCTGTTCGAATTTCGAAAGCTGATAACCATGAATTATATAAACAAAAACCTAAAAACACAATTAATATGTGTATATGTGTTTGAATATATATATATATATATATATCATAATCAAATAGTAGAATACCAAAAGACAAATCCATTCTTCACTTTGTCCCTATTCAAAACCAAACTTGGACACAAAATCATAAAAATAAAAGAATAAATTCAAGTAAATACAGACTCAACATAAACATGTACATATGAAGTCTTATATGAATTTGAAGTCATATATGCTGATTAAATTTAGGATAAATTACGAATACACTCTTTGAGATTTGATTAAAATATAAATCATTCCTTGTGGCTTTAAAAATTACATTCCACCCTGAAGTTTCTAATGTCATAACAAATTGTACATTTTATTAATAAATCATCAAGTTAATTAACAGTTTTTAATGATCTTAAAAATATATTTCAATTAATAATTTAGGTAATTTTATTATTGTATAGGAGAACAATTATAAATTTCATTTTTTAGTTAATTCTGTTAACTAAAAAATTCTAATAAGGGAGTATTTGTAATTTTTTAAATTACAGGGGATAATCTGTATTTTAAGCAAATCTCTTGAGATGTATTTATAATTTACTTTTAAATATATAATCCAATAGTTACGCCAAACAGATTAACAGTTTCTGATTAAAATCATAATTTATAATTTGTTAAGTTGTAATTTATAATTTATTTTAACAGATACATCAAACAGAATCATGATTTATCAAGAAGAGAATAAAAACGACTAGCCGAGATGGAAGAGGCGTGGGTGTTGGCGCTGGCGGTGGTGTGAGTGTGGCAGAAACGGAGAAAGCAACACTTGTGGGGTGGGTGAACAGGGTAGATAGAGAAGATGGGCAGTAAAGTCTATGATAGTGTTAAGAATGGATGGTGGTGATTTGTTCAATGGTTGATGAATGATTGTGATGATTTGGTGTGTTTATGTTTTATACTACTATTTAGAGAGATTTATTGGAAATTTTTTTTTAAAGTGTTTATATTTTAATTAGTTCATAAGATATTTTTGTATTTTAATAAATCATTTTATTTGAACATTTGATCTACTAATTTTTAATTTTCATAAAATATTTTATAGACATTTCTACTCTTACATATATTTTTTGAACGGTTAGCAATTTGGTACTGTGAACATTCATATTTTACAATGTGAATATTCACATTGATGTGTAAATGCTCATATTGATATGTTAACATTCACATTGATAGTGTGAACATTCATATTGACGATGTGAACATTTACATTAACGGTTTAAACATTCACCTCACGAAACATTCACATTGTAAATATAAATATTATTAAGAGTATTTTGGTAATTATGTTACTCATAAGACTTATCAAAATATAAGAACATAATGTGGATTAAATGAAACTCAGGCAAAGTTTGGCAAGTTAAAAAAAAGTTAAAAAGTTGTTAAAAAGTTATCACTATTCACCAAAAGTTAAAAAGTACGACTGCACAACTCCCAATCTTAATTAGTGTGCTTGGTTTGAGTTTTTTGAATTACTAAGTTTTTTGAAAACAAATTTTTTGATTTTCGTGTTTTTTTGTTTTTAATGAATGTTTTTAAAATTTTAAATATTTTTTTTTAATTTTTTAGATGCACCTTACTTAGATGTATCTAAAAAGTAAAAAAATAGTGAAAAAATATTTTAAAAAATTAATAAATACATAAAAATACAAAAAATGTACTGAATTCTCATTTTTTTATTTTTGGTATTTAGTGAATTTTTAAAAGATTTTTTTTCACAATTTTTCTACTTTTTAAGTATATTTATGTTAGATATGCCTAAAAAGTAAAAAAAAAATTGCTTAAAATATTAAAAAAAAAAAAAAAAAAAAAAAAGAGATCGAAGGAGAAAGGCGAATATAGCGAGAGGATTGTACTCCGGCAACTATTTTTTGTTTATATCTAGCCAAATCTGATGTAGATCTATTCAAATCTAATATAGATCTAAGTAGATCTACATCAGATTTGAGTAGATCCACTCATCTTCTTCGTCGGAAATGTATCATCTTCGCCGTCGGTGAGGGTGAAGTCACGAGTTGATTTCGATGGTTGGTGGTTTTCGGTGAACCCCGATCAATAGAGAAAGACGTGATCACCGGTAGTCGTCCATGACAAAGAAGATGAGAGAAAAATGCAAAAAAAAAAAAGAGAGAGGAAAACGCAAAGAGTCAGGCAAAAAGTAGAGAGAGAGAGAGAGAGAGAGAGAGAGAGAGAGAGAAGAGAGTAGGACTTTTGGCTCTACTCAAAAAGTTGTTGGATTAAATAGTGTCCACATGTTTTACATAGGACCTGTGGGTAATTTCCCCTATATTTTTTTTGAAGCCCTATTTTCAGCCTTTTTTGGGAGGTCCAAACCGTCTGCTTTGTGAGTTTGTCCCCAGAACCGGGCTTGGTTGCTGGCTAACCATCCCCATTAGCATGCACTATTTGACACAATAGCACTTCTTATGTTCTTTGTTTTAAATAAAATGTTCATTAAATGATATTTAATTATACAAATATTATCGTCACATTTCTCTAGTGATAATTTCACTATAAATAGCATTTTCCTTAAATGAGCGTTGCAAAATCAATTGAAAATAGAAAAATTAATTACATAACCCCTGTGTCCTACAAAGCTTCTCAAAGGGGTGACCTCTCACCATAAGGAAAATTAGGATTGTGTTCATTCTCCTCCATCTTTCTTCAAAACATCAATTTTGAGGGCTTATGACAGTAGTCATAAAAGGAGATTGGCTAAGAATCCCTTTCATGGTAGATCATCAAAGTCTCGCTATCAGT